GGTGTCACCATTTCCTGTTTAGGGGAATATGAAAATCTATGTTTAGAACAATATGATTCTGCTCTAAGCAAACTAGGTTCATCTAGCATCCACATTCAGGGAAATGCAGACATGTCTTTAGTTGCCCTGCACATCTCACCATCTGGAAGGGAGGAATCTGAGAGCAAGGAAAGCCTCAGTAATAAACACCAGGCACCCCATTAACCCAGCCCTCAAGGAGGAGGGCGGGGCAAGGGCAGCTCACTGGCTGGAGGGAGGTCTTGTGATGCCTGAGTCTCCAGGCTGGCTGGTAGCAGCCGAGAGAATCAGGAAGGGAAGGAAAGAGAGCGGGAGGAGGAGAACAGTGGAGGGCAGTGAACGGGCCTGCTGGCAACAAAGGACAGAGGTTGCAGCAGAAACTGGGGAGGATGCGAGGGTCCACGGGAGGAGCCGGAGGAGAGACACCTGGAGGAGGCTTCCTCCTGCTCACCCTCCCCAGAAGGTGCCGATGGGCCGGGTGAGGGCTCACATCCGCTTCCCTCACGAAGACTGTGCAGTTCAGGTTGGTCGCGGGAACACACTTCTTTCACTTGAGTGATCACTTGTGTCTCCCTGTCATTTCAGGTTGGGTCTTTCTGCCTGCCTCCCCTCACTTTCACTCTGGCCTCAGTCTTCGTTGTTTTCTGGCAAACAAAATATGGTCAGGAGGAAGCGCTGACCACGCGAAAGGCAAAGGCCTGCCTCTGGGGAGTAAGATATACTCGCACTGCTGTGCTAGTTTATTTATGCTTATTAATTTAATCAATTTTAACATAGTGCTGTATAAACACGTATATATAATGCAAGCAAGTATTAAATGTGATGTACTATTATTATTTTATTATAATAATATCTATAAACCAATAATATATGTTAATATTAATAATATATAGGCTGATTTAGTTAACGACACCCCTGGTGAGAAGACTACTGAAGACTAAAGAAATCAGAAAAAAATCAGAAATCTGAAGATCTTTGAGAACTCCGTGCTCACGATGTAAATGGCGAGACGTGCATGAAGGTTCTTAGCCAGGGGTCCTCACAGGCTTTTCCAGGCCCCTGTTACGGGTCAGCAGTGAACCGTGGGGTGAGTGTCCGGGCAAAGCCCCCAGGCTGAGGCCAGGCCGGGCCTGCCGCCAGTCTCCTTCCTTCCGTCACCGCGCGTCACCTCCTCACTTACCCCAGTGTAAGCGAGTGTTATCACTTCTCCTACAGAATGAAGCTGTGTGTTGCAGGAGAGCTGGAGCAAACTCACTAGTGACATAAATCTTAAAACTACAGCGAGAGGGAGATGGAGGGAGGGAGACACATAAACAGATATCATGTGCCCTGGCTTTAGTCTATAGTGAAAAATTTATGAAAACAGAAAATGACGGGTGGAAAGGGAGGTGGGAGGGGGGACCGGGATGGGGAATACATGTAAATCCATGGCTAATTCATTTCAATGTATGACAAAAACCACTGCAGTGATGTAAAGTAATTAGCCTCCAACTAATAAAAATAAATGGAAAAAAAATAAATAAAAAATAAATTAATTAATTAATTTTAAAAAAAGAAAACAGAAAATGATATTAAAACTGGTTAGTCTTTAGCTTGTATTTTTATCACTGCCTGTATTAAACAATTGATCAGTCATCTAAATATCATAGATTCTAAATCATAAACTAGGATTTTAAAACACTGTGGTTTTCTGTGTTGCCAAAATGTACTTTTGAAGCCAATGTCCAAATCATCCAGTGTCTTCTTTTTGTGAGTGTTGGTCACATGTTGTTTTTTTAACTTTAGTTTTCTATGTGAGATAGAGCCCTTTAGCAAACAGTGCTGTGATACTTTCAAGTGAACACCAAAGGGAACAATTCAGCCATTCACATGCATGTGTCCTTTCTCCCCCAAACTCCCCTCCCATCAAGGCTGCTACATAGCGTGGAGATCCATGTGCCAAACAGTGAGTCCTTGTTGATTCTTAACCAAAGCGGCCATCTGCTGCATCATCAGAGACCCTGTCAGAATGTTTACCAGAGGTTAGAGAGGAGTTCCCTGGAAAACACTCAGCCCACCCCCTGCTGCCAGATGAAGGCTGTTTATATACGGGTGCTAGTTTTGAGAGAGCTTGGTGAGCTGGACCAGCTCGTACAGAGATGGAAAGGGCTTGTCACCATGAACATTCCCCAGTAGGTTCAGCCTGCCCCGAATGCGCCCTGAGTCCTGACTGCTGAGCAGGCCAAGCCCCGTCCGCCCTCCGCCCCCAGCGCCTCCTCCCCCAGGGCCGCGGGAGACAGAAGGACTGCCCGCTCTTCCCTCCTACCCCCCCACTCCCGGGCGTGGACGAGCCCAGGGCCCTGCTCTGGTTGAAGGAGGAAGAAGGCCCAACAGCGGCCCCAGAAGAAGCACAGAGGGGCCCCTCCATTCCCAGGACTGGGGCTCATCCTGCAGGGCCGAGGGGACACGGGGGCGGGAGGAGCCTCAGCGCCGGACACTGTGGGAGCTTGTCTGCCAAACAGACTCAGGGACTGTCTGCCGGCTGTGGGATCTGGGGAACGGGAGAGATTTGGATGGACTGGGGCTAGATGGGAGGGTTTCTCATGTCTAAAGCATAGGCTGTGTCTCTCTGGGCTAAAATATTAACCTCTGAGCACTAGATCCCACCAAAAGCAGAGTACTGGTTAGAGGTGTCCTGAGACGTGAGAGTTTCTCAGGGAGATGAGAGGACATACTAAGAGAATGTAAAATGCCTCGTAGAGCGTGAGGCACACACCCAGCCTTCTGACCCCAGTTTTGGGAGGTGGCAGTTTTTATGCATGTCTCTGCTAGCTCAGATGGTAAAGAATATGCCTGTAATGTAGGAGACCTGGGTTTGATCTCTGAGTTGACAAGATCCCCTGGAGAAGGAAATGACAACCCACTCCAGTATCCTTGCCTGGAGAATGCCATGGAGAGAGGAGCCTGGTGGGGTCCATGGGGCCACAAAGCTTCAAACATGACTGAGAGTGACCCCTTTCAGTGAGGCAGCTGGTGTCCTCGGGCCTGATCAGGGAGGAGCACGGCTGACTGTTGCTTCTGATGAGCCCTGTCCGAGAGAACAGCGCAGACAGGGGCCCCCGGGGAGTCAAGACACAGGCTGCTTAGTCAGCAGGACTGTGAAGGGTGGGCTGGGCACCCCTCGGGTCCTCTCCCCACTGCCCCCGTGTGCCCTGCAGTTCCGAGCTTTGGCCTGAATGCGTCACAGACAAGGACCCTTCGTAGCCTACCTATTATGAGGTAACAGCTAAAGGAATGTTGCCTATAGGCTTATACATAAAGTTCCATCTCTGGGAACCCTGCATCCCAGGTAATGAGCACCAAGCTAAAATAACTTTGTTCAGTTCACAAGAGACCTCCTGAGCAGACTCTCCTGTGAGTCATAGCAGGGAGGCAGAAATGAATACATCCCCTCTGGAGGCTGATTGGAATGAAGAAATATTTGACTCTTCTCCCCCTCCCCCCCCACCGCCTTTTAGTATAAATATGAAAGAAGCCTGAATTCTAACTCAGGTAAGGGGTCCTTGGGGCAAGAGTCCTGGGTTTCTGAATAAAGCTGCTCTTCCTTGCCCCAACAACTCATCTCTCAGTTAATTGGCCTGTCATCAGGTGAGCAGTACAAGCTTGGACTCAGTTACAGAAGAGCTGGCACTCTTGCTCTCTCAGGAAGATTTCCACTTTCATTCATTTAGTCATTCATTGCATATTTGAGTCCTGCTCAGAGCCAGGCCTTAGCTAACTGATGACTCACCCTTGGAGACCCAGCTCAGACCTCACCTGGTCCACCATGCCTTTTTCCATCGCCTGCTCTGCCCGCACAGTTTTCTGCCTCACCCAGGGCCCCTCAAGTCTTTAACCACACTTTAATGAGCGCTCCAGCTTGTGAGCCCTGTGAGGACTTCGACGATGCAGAATGGGGCTCAGAAAATGTGATGATGACAAATGATCAAATCAATGAGCTGGTTAAACACAAACCAGGCTTAGGTCACATTCACAAAAGGTGTCATCTTCTCCCTCTTTCCAGGGCCAGAGTTTCAGGGGGACATTGACCCAGAGCCCAAGGATCTTCTCTGACACTAACCTCATCTACAATATTACCTCTCTGGATGGATTTTATTTTCAGTTTTATTTCTTTTTACACTTGATGTCACTTCATGACTATTCCACTGAATATTGAGAAACTGAATGATCACTTCTGTTGTGTCTGGGCCAAGAAAGCCCAATACAGGGTAGGATATTGAGGAGGAGAAGGTCAGGGGAGTGGGGGGTGGGAAACCAATGGAAGCAGGCAGCTCCCACCCCCGTTCCCACCACCCCACCCCACCCCCTTTGTCCTTAACCAATCTGCCTGTGATTACCAGGGGTCAGTCTGTCTCCTCGCTAGATGGTCCATCCCTTAGAGACAGCTGTGGAGGTCACAAGACAAACCTAAGTTCTCAGGCCCCCGTGTGGCCCAGGAGCAGTCGCCTGTGCCTTCAGAGGGTCAGCTTCTGACCCACAGTGATGCTCTCCCAGAGTCGAGCGTGAGTTGTGGCCAGCCCTGCTCACCATGAGACACTGCAGCTCTTGCTCTGCCCTGAAACCACCCCCCTGCAGCCTGGCTGTATTTGGGGGGACGCCTGGACAAAGCAAGGCACGAGCGAGTCAGAGAGAGTGGGCGCTTCAGGAGCAGAAGAGATACAGAGAAACTTGGTCTCACTGTGGCCACTTCCAACTGGTCCCAGCCTAATGCCACCTGTCATACATCCTGAGTGGACACAATCTCCTGGGAGCTCAGAGGACTCTCCTGAGAGCTGGGAATGTGGAGCTCTGGAGGGTGTGGCTGGCATAGCCCCCCACATGAGGCTGGGGCTCTGGTGCTCTGCAACTGGCCCGGAGACTGAAGCTAGCCTGGCAGGTTTGCAGTGTAGACTGTCAGGGAGTCTGGCTGAAGCTGCTGGCGTCCATGGTCACACCTCCCCCACCCGTCTGACCGGTTCTGACCCCAGCAGTTAAGCAGGGCTGGTCTGGCCAGCATGTGACAGAACCTTGGGAGCTCAGCACAGAGGCTCTTCGGCCGCCTCTCCTGTCCTGTATCCTGGGTCTCTCTCTCCTTCGCCACCACTGCCCGTCCCCCGTGGAGTTCTCTTCTTAGGCCGCCGTGGGGAGGCCTGTGTGGAGTCCTGGTCGGGTGGGTGGTACGGAGGGTCCCGAGACGGGGTGTCATGGCTGGGCTGCTGTGCCGTGCCTGCTGGTGGCTCAGGGCCGGTGCGGCAAAGACAGTTCTTAGTGACGTGGACTGAACACGTAACTTTGCCATAATGGTAATTTTATATTCTGTGAGTTTTTCACAATTAAAAGAAAAGAACTTGGGTGTGTGTGTGTGTGTGTGTGTGTGTGTGTGTGTGTGTGTGTATTATAATGGCCTAGAAAGGAATATTCTCAAGCCAAACAGAGGAGTGAATCATGTGCTAAACCATAGATTAGTCTCAAAGACATAACACCAAGTGTAAGAAATCAGCATACATGGCCACTGTTGTACAAATCCATGCACCTTAAATATGCAGAACAGGCAAATCATTAGGGACAAAAAGCACACAGATTGTCAGAAGTTGGGGGAAGGTGGAAGGGAAAGTGACTGTTGAATGAATAGTGGCTTTCTTTGTGAGGAGATGAAATGCCGTGATTTAGGTAGTGGTGATAGTTGCACAAGTTTGTCAACAGATGATAGATCATTCAGTTGTACATTTTGCAGAATAAATTTTATGTGAATTTGATTTCAACTTAAAAATTGTGATAGATAAAGGATTTTTTTTTTTAAGATATAACAGAAGTAGCACATATTGTTCTTTTATTTGGTTCTCACTCTTCTAACATCTGTAGGCAAACAAAAATCACCCTAAAGAGAACAAGCACTGTTTATTGCACTCTTGCTCCATAATGTGAAGGAATCAGTTACCAACCGTTTTGTTCAGCAGAGACTCGGGCATTGTGGTTGCTGTTGTTCAGTCACTAAGTTGGGTCCAACTCTTTGCGATCCCATGGACTGCAGGACACCAGGCCTTTCTATCCTTTGCTATCTCCCAGAGTCAGGCATAGGCATGGGAAAGTTTTCTGATAGTAAAAAGGAAGCACATTGTGATCAGAGATTGTGATGCAGGAAAGCTGGGAGGGGGGGACTGGTTAGAAGACGGGCCTCCTCTATGTGTGTCTGAGGGACATATTCGGTTCCCCCTTTTACTTCTAAATAGGAAGGATGATTAAAAATAAGGAAGCTGTCAGTCACTGATTAAAGTCTGACTATTGAGGTTTAATACTGCAGGGGTTGTGATCGGGCTTTCTGGGTTGGTTGCTACAGATTATGGATTAAGGCTTCACATTGGGCTTCTCAGATTGGGCTGAGAAATTCCTTGGCTCCAGGTGGATTGAGAAAATTCTGTATATTGAAGCTGTTGTCAAAAGCCAGAACTAAGAGTGTTCCCAGAAACAAAGATGATCCACACCTCCTGCCTCTCCACCCATATCCACCACACGTCAACCTCAATTATCCAAAGCAGGAGTGGTGGCCACTTTTGTAATTTTATACTAACTATAAAATGTCTGAAAGCAAAATTACGGGATTCTATTTAATGTATACACATCTGGTGTATGTACAGCTTGGTGACTGTAGTGGTAAAAGAACCCAACTGCCAAGGCAGGAGTTGTAAGATATACGGGTTTGATTCCTCGGTCAGGAAGATCCCCTGGAGGAGGGCACGGTAACCCACTCCAGTATTCCTGCCTGGAGAATCCCATGGACAGAGGAACCTGGTGGGCTACAGTCCATAGGGTCACACATAAACGGACATGACTGAAGTGACTTAGCATGCGGGCACAAATGTACATCTTGAAATTCCAAAGCAATGCTTGAGAGAGCATGCTGAATGTTTGTATTTTTTATCTTTTCAAATATTCAAAAAAACATTTTCTATTTCAGAACTGGAATGAATTTTTAGTTTATTTTTTATTCCATAATTCTGTAGGTTAAAGTTACTCACTGTAGCATATAAACAAGAAAATATCAGCTGCATGAACATCATAAAATCTTACCTTTACTTGAACAGAGGCTTTCAAATGTCAAGTGACTCTGCTTGTTGATTTCCTTTCAACAAAAGGATTCAGGGACCATGGTACCTTTGAGTTATAGGTTTGTCATCAACAACCTGTGGTTTCAAATCTGGCCCTGGCACTGGGTCTATTCTGCTCAGCTAGAGAGGGAAAAGGATGCCTTGTGGGACATGTTCAGAGGCCAGGCCTGTTCAGAGCCAAAGGAACTTCTACTCAATGTAGCTTGGCCAGAACTCACGGGCATGGCCATCCCTGGGATCTGGGCGGCTGGAACAAGAGTCTGTTGCATGTTGACTTGGAAAGAAGTGAGAAGCTTGGTGACTAGGGCTCTACACTCTGTGTACAAATATTAACTTTAAAACAAATGTCTTTCTTATCCACATTTCATCCGATGAAAAAGGTGACTCACTATCTGATTCTACTAATTAACCCTGGGGAAAAGATCTGTGGGAAAAGACCAAGCATATCAAACAATGCTCTCTGAAAGGAAAAGTCACACTGATTCCCAAGAGTAAAGCTGGAACATGTCCAGGATTAAAGCTATCCAAAAGATTTTAAAAGAGGTGATGAATGTGTTTAGAAATATTTAAATATGAGTTGCCCTTGGTGCAATAGAATGGGAAGGACTAGAGATCTCTTCAAGAAAATGAGAGATACCAAGGGAACATTTCATGCAAAGATGGGCTCAATAAAGGACAGAAGTGGTATGGACCTAACAGAAGCAGAAGATATTAAGAAGAAGTGGCAAGAGTACAAAGAATTGTACAAAAAAGATCTTCACGACCCAGATAATCACGATGGTGTGATCACTCACCTAGAGCCAGATATTCTGAAATGTGAAGTCAAGTGGGCCTTAGGAAGCATCACTACGAACAAAGCTAGTGGAGGTGACGGAATTCCAGTTGAGCTCTTTCAAATCCTAAAAGATGATGCTGTGAAAGTGCTGCACTCAACATGCCAGCAAAGATGGAAAACTCAGCAGTGACCATAGGACTGGAAAAGGTCAGTTTTCATTCCAGTCCCCAAAAAAGGCAATGCCAAAGAATGCTCAAACTACCACACAATTGCACTCATCTCACTCACTAGCAAAGTAATGCTCAAAATTCTCCAAGCCAGGTTTCAATAGTACATGAACCATGAACTTCCAGATATTCAAGCTGGATTTAGAAAAGGCAGAGGAGCCAGAGATCAAATTGCTGACATCTGTTGGATTATCAAAAAAGCAAGAGAGTTCAAGAAAAACACCTGTTTCTGCCTTATTGACTATGCCAAAGCCTTTGACTGGGTGGATCACAACAAACTGGAAAATTCTTCAAGAGATGGGAATATTAGATCACCTTACTGCCTCCTGAGAAATCTGTATGCAGGTCAGGAAGCAAGAGTTAGAACTGGGCATGGAACAACAGTTTGGCTCCAAATCGGGAAAAGAGTACATCAAGGCTGTATATTGTCACCATGCTTATTTAACTGATATGCAGAGTACATCATGCCAAATGCAGGGCTTTTGCATAACTTAAAGATGAGTAAATAATTATTTATTTGTAAATATACATTTTTTTTTCTGAGTGCATCATGCAAAATGCTGGGCTTTAGAATAATTGAAAGATGAGTAAATAATTATTTATATATTAAAATTGAGATAAGATACACATAACCTAAAATTTAGCCTCTTAGCCACTTTAAGTGGCTAGTTCAGCTGTGACCTGTACGTTCACATTAATGTGTAACCCAGCTCCAGAACTCTTCTTGCAAAACTCAAACTCTGTACCCACTGAACCAGTCCCCATTTCTCTATTCCCAGCCTCTGCCCACCACTACTCCACTTTCTGTGTCTATGAATGTGACTATTTTGAGTCATTAAGTACTCTAGGTACCTCATGGGCTTCCCTTGTGGCTCAGCTAGTAAAGAATCCCTCTGCAATGTGGCTGATGTGTGTTCAACCCTGAGTTAGGAAGCTCCCTTGGAGTAGGGAAAGGCTACCCACTCCAGTATTCTGGCCTGGAGAATTCAGGCCATGGAGTCTCAAAGAGTTGGACATGACTGAGAGAATTTCACTCCCTGGGTACCTTATATAAGTGGACGTAAGTGTTTACTCTTTTGTGTCTGGCTTATTTCATTTAGCATGATGTCCTGAAAGTTCATCCACTCTGTAGCCTGTGCCAAAGTTCCCTTTATGTTTTCAGTCTGAACAAGATTCCAGGTTATGCAGTCTGTTTATCCAGTCATCTGTTACTGGACACTTGGGTTCCTTCCACCTGTGGGCTATTGTGCATCATGCAGCTATGAACCTTGCTGTACAAATATCTGTTCAAACTTCTGCTTTCAGTTCTTTTGAATATATACCCAGAAGTGGAATTCCTGGATCATGTGGTAATTTTAGTTCCAATTTTTTAAGGACTGGCCATGGTGCTTTCCACAGTGGCTGTACTATACTATATTGTCAGCAACTCTGCACAAGATTCAATTTTCACCTACATTCTCACCAACACATCTTATTTCTGTCTTTTGATACTTGCTATCCTAATGGGTAAGAAGTGGTATCTCATTGTGAGTTTTATTTGCATTGAGCATTCTTCTCTGTGCCTGTTGGCCATTTGTATATCTTCTTAGAGAAATGTCTATTGAAGTAAGCCCTTTCGGATCTTCTGTGGATATTATATTTAAGTGGTAGTGAGAACATTCAACAGTAGTCTAGTGAGATCTACACTCTGAACAAATTTCTAAGTGTAGAACATAGTGTCATTGGGCCTTCCCTGGTGGCTCAGTGGTGAAGACTCTGCCTGCCAGTGCAGGAGACTTAGGTTCAGTCCCTGGATTGGGAAGACACCCTGGAGAAGGAAGTGGCAACCCGACCCAGTGTTTTTGCCTGGGAAATCCCATAACAGAGGATCCTGGGGGCTGTGGCCCACGGGGCCGCAGAGTCGGGCATAACTCAGTGAATACACAACAACAGTGTCATTAGTTACAGACAAAGTATATACAGCGCATCTCCAGAAGGCGTGCATCTCGCAGAACAGAAACATCTTACCTGGTGAGCAGCAGCTCCCCATTTTCCTTCTCCTGCCCCCAGCCACCACAGTTCTACTCTCTGCACAGGTAAGTTTGACTATTTTATTCAT